ACAATACATTTTAATTTCTGATCTATGGCGACTTTATAATCTAAATAAAAATTGTAGAAGCAGCATTACACCAACAATTAAATGAGGTCTGTTGAAAACAATCTAAAAATAAAAACGATTTTATTATACAAAAACTTGATTCTCCACTTAAAGTTTTAAGGCAACAAAGTGTAGTTCAACTGTTATTCGCCCACAAAAATGCCACTTAAATTCAGGATGTTTGAGAGAACACAGACATGGCAATTTTTGGTTCTGGCTACGCATGTTAGCTATAAAACCGCTAAAACGCAACTTTTATTTGGCCATTTAATGAGCCAATTAAAATGTCTGCCTGCATTTGAATAAACACATTTGAGACAGAATCTGCGAAAAACTTTTCGCAAAACGCAAAAATGGCTGACTGGCAGGCACGCCCACTCGCCCACTAGCCGAAACGCGGCCATAACACTGTGAAATGAGCTTTAAAGCATATGGGTTAATAAAAGTTGAACAAAGTGTTTAAGGCGGCCAAATGCGGGTAATGCGAGGGGGCGCATTTGTAGGCGGGACAGACAGGAGACAGCAGACAGCAGCTAAGAAATGTCCTTGAGCACGCAAATTTACCGTAAAGTTATTTTGGCTGTCTGCTTGTGACTCTGTCGGTGCCTGTGTGTGTGTGTGTGTGTGTGTGTCTTTGTCTGTGCTCTGCGAACTGCCATCAAAAACTTAACCGCAATTTAACAGTAGAGAAGAAGAAGACGTCACGGAAGACAGCAAAGTGAGCAGTTTCTGAAATAGTAACTTGTTTTTTCTTATCTTTTAAATTTATGGTTTATTTTCAATATGTCTAAACAATAAAGAACAAAAAATAACTAGTCAACTTACTGGTAAATACAAAATATTATATTATATCTTTTCTTTAAAAAATATATGTATATTACCGTAAAATTTAAATTGTACATTATAACAAAATAAATATTGTCAGAATTGCATCAATTAATAAATTTAATAATTAAATTTCACACCTTAATGAATGAAATGATATAATTTCTTTCATTTAAAAATATATTTCTTTTAAGTTTCACACTTTAAGCTCCACACTTTAATATTTTAAATGCCATAGTGCCTATATCGTTAACACGTTGAGTCCCTTGGGTAGCCCCGCAGAAAATTCGTTCGAATAAATTTGATTTGCAGCTAACTCGCAATTCCAACTAGCCCAACCACCTAAATGCCAAGCCCGCCTATCGATTGAGTGTCAAACTTTTGGCCAGCACTGTCAGTTGCCTAATTCCATGGAGGCTGTACAACGTTTGCGGCTAGCGGACTGTCTATGCAGTCTTTTTATTTTTTGCTCCATTTTTGTTAATATTTTTTCTTTTTTTTTTTGTATACCTCCTCACAAAGCGAAGTGAGGATTTTAGTCTTGCGATATTTCATTCTTCTTTATAAATTTCAAGGTGAGAGATAAATAAAATTTGATAATTGCATGCCAACTATGAACATAGGAAAACGGAATGATTATATTACTTTTCTAGTGATTTATAAAAAAAATCTTCAAGTAGCATCTAAATTATCTACACAAAAAAAATGTTCGCGAAGGAGTAACACGCAGTCCATCATATCGGTCTCTAGCATTCTTGTTTGCTTTTGCCTTTGCGTCAAAAAATGGTGCAATCTATTGACAGAGACAGTTCATATGTGACCTGTCTTCAAACGAAGAAGAAGACGAAGGCGAATAAAGTTATCTCTGTTGTAAGCATGTTATTTTTGACTTTCTTCCTGGCTTTACTTTACTTTAATATATTAATATATTTCAATGATGTTGAAATGAACATATTTTGAGGTAGATTAAATTTGTATTAAATCGGTGAGATATTTCAGTAAATTATTATGCAAATGTTGAATGTCCTTTTGGTTCATGAAGCATTGACTTTTCAATTGAGCTCATCAAATATTTGCGCTATTCATGTTTATTTA